CACGCAACCTGGCATCGGATAGCAGGCCCTCTCAGTCGGGTCGGGGTAATCAGCTCTATGTTATCTGGTATCCTAAATACCCGTCTACATTTCTCTAGGGTTTCTAAGGTGGCTTTGGAAAGACAACTAGAAGTCCCCCACTGAGTAGAAGTATGTATGGGCGGAGCGGGTAACCTCCAAATATTCTTGCTCTACCTATTTCGTCCGAAGAAACAACTATTGCGCTCTTAATAATTGAACTCTCAACACTTTGCCTCTCCCCACTCATGGAAGTGTGTCCTGAAGAAGCCATTTGGCTAGATTTTGAAGAAAAATGAAGTGAATAGGGAGAAATTTTACCTAAAAAGTTTATGGTTTGTGGGAAAGGGAGTTGTCGGAGTTCCCAAAATTGTCGCCAGAGTTTCACAACCTTGCTCATCGGAGAAATTGAAACGAGACAGAGTACAAGAATCTTGGAGATCTCACAAAGGTAAAAGTGACAAAATGAAAAATTCGAGCCTTATATAGGTATCTCCAAATTCACCCCAGCCGCTAGATCATCTCAAATCACATCTGGGCCACCTAAATCTATGGTCTATCATCGCTGTTGAAACTAAGAGTCACATAAGCCAACGATCCTGATGAAGCAGTGTACCCTCGCACTAACCCAAACGCGTCACCTCGAGCCTATGCAGTCGTCGCCATGCTTAACATTTATAGTCATAGGGGTGTGCCTGGAAGCAAGCAACGCTCCCCATGATTACCTTGGGAAGACGCGAAAGCTTTCAAATAATTAGCACGCAGCCCAAGGCTGTCCCATCAGCAGACACTTCATCCTTTAGCTAGGACGTCACTTTACAACAACTTTCCTCAAAGTTGCCAACACTTATCACTTCGTCCTTAAACCATGACTTCACTTTCCAATAACTTTCTTCAAGGTTGCCAATACTTATGACTTTGTCCTTAAGCCATAATTTCGCTTTGCAACAACTTTCCTCAAAGTTGCCAACACTTACCACCTCGTCCTTCAGCCAGGACTTCGCTGTGCAACAACTTTCCTCAAAGTTGCCAACACTTATCACTTTATCCTTTAGCCAGGACTTCGCTTTGCAACAACTTTTCTCAAAGTTGCCAACACATATCACTTCGTCCTTCAGCAAGGACTTTGCTTTGCAACAACTTTCCTCAAAGTTGCCAACACTTATCACCTCATCCTTCAGCAAGGACTTCTCTTTGTAACAACTTTCGTCAAAGTTGCCAACACTTATCTCTTCGTCCTTCAGCCAGGACTTCACTTTGCAACAACTTTTCTCAAAGTTGTGAAAACTTATCACTTCGTCCTTCAGCCAGGACTTCGCTTTGCAATAACTTTTCTCAAAATTGCCAAAACTTATCACTTCGTCCTTCAGCCATGATTTCGCTTTGTAACAACTTTCCTTAAAGTTGTCAAGATCTATCACTTCGTCCTTCAGCCAGGACTTTGCTTTGCAACAACTTTCCTCAAAGTTACCAACACTTATCACCTCGTCCTTCAGCGAGGACTTCACTTTGCAACAACTTTCCTTAAAGTTGTCAACACTTATCACCTCGTCCTTCAGCCAGGACTCTGCTTGGCAGCAAATTTTCTCAACGTTGCCAACAGCTAGGAATGTTTCGCAACAACTCCCTCTGTACTCAACTCTTCGTCCTTCTATCAAGATCTTCTGTAACTAGTGCATACGCCCTTTAAAATGACAGAAAAATCGCCTCTATAAAGTCCATGCATTATATAAATATCCATACAAGGACTTGAGAGACTGTTGTTATGGGCCTTCTAAAGCCCTCTACCTCACCCATCCACTTCATCCGCCATGTGTTGGTCGAACTGCTTTGGTGTTACCACGTGGCAAACGAACTGAATTCAAGTTAGATGAACTGAATTTATGTCGGATGAATTGATTCCATTACTCCGAACTGAAGCACCATTGCCCCACCCAGTAGAAGAACCAAACTCATCCGCCATTCATGACGGATGCAAAGGCCCCCACACTCCATATTTGTTATGCCTCACAATCCGCCTTGCCACATTTCTGCCAAGATCTTTTAGGATATCTTTCCAAAGTCAAATCCTTGACTGATCGATGAGACGTGTGACAGGCTACAAAACGGTGAACTCAGTTGCTATGTCAGAAACCATTTAATGCCCGCCAACCTGTGGATTGGTGGATTGACACCTATGAAAAGATGGGTCGTCCGGGATCTGAAGTCATGTGTCCCTTCATCTAATTGTTCACCTCTTCCTTTTTTTAGTATAAATACCCCCATACTGGTAAGAGTAAAGGGTTCCGATTCCAACCTTTGCATTCTAATCTTTAATTTTAAAGAGCATTTCATTATATTTACACACATTCTCAACCACGTCTCGGTGGCCACTTCATCGTCGGACACCAGCATTGGGTTGACTGAAATACTGATTTGACCGTCGGAGTGTTTGCGATTGCTTCCACCCTCATCGAAAAACGCCACGAGTGACTAATGGTGTGCTATCGAGCGCAGGGAAAAGCTTACGTGGAGTTTCGTTCTGTTGGCCACGTGTCTTATTTTTTTATTTTTTTTTTAAATCCAATCAACTTGTGGTTCGTTGAGCTTTTTCTAAACTTAAATTGGTGGTCATTTAACTTATATATAGTGAAATTTCAATTGGATCAAAGATGATGCTGGTTTAAATCGAGCTCACACATCTATTTTTGCATTAAAGAGGAATAGAAAAATTCATACTTGCAATAGTATGTACACTTTCGGCCAAGCTCCAAATATTGAACATGATCATTAGCGGAGTTAGCGGTGACCCAAAAAAAAAAAATTGTATTGGGTTGATGCATTGAAAAAAATTCAGAAAAGAAAGAGAAAATTTTATCTAAAAAACTAAAGGGGCTAGCTTAAGTGCTCTTTTCATGTTCTGAACATGGCAACAGACGAGTATCTTAAGTTATATATTCTTCAGTTTTATCAACTTGAACTATTATTTGCCAAACTTTACATACATTTTTGAGTACTTAAATTTGTTACTAATTGGTGTGCCGTACATCAACATGGACCTGTGCTAGTCATGGTCAAACATTTCCAAGATAAACACAAATCTTAATCAACCACCTCCTACTTTTGCTTAGCTTATGCAATCAAGACGAGATATAATGTCATAAAGAATGTTACTTTAAGTGGCTTTTTATCCCTAAAAAATGTTACTCGTACATAAAAAATAATTTTTGTTGACACTGAAATTTTAATAAAATTTGAACTGGACTAAAAATTTAATTTATCTCAATTGAGTTATTAAATTTAAATTAGTTTATGTTAGATAATCGAATTTCAATTTAATTTTAAACTTTGCTACTCTCTTAAATATTACCCAAATTGACAAAAAATGATTAATTGTCACCAATAAGCAATGGATCTTCCACGTAATTGTTGCATGGTGTGTCAGCTTATTGTTACTTCACAAAATAAAATTTTAAAAATCGAGAATTTACCTTTTAATATAACCCTTATTTAAAAATTTTAACTTCTAGAGTACCACAACGATTACGTAGAATGTCAGTTACTGTATTACATCAACTAAGCAAATTTCATCAATTTGAAGGATGATGTGTGACAGAGACATGAAGTAGTTATATATCTAAAACTAGAATGAAGTCTAGTAACACAATCGAGACAAATTAAATTTCATTTATAAAATTAAGCCCATATTTGTCTTATATTCTTTTAAAACTCTTTCTTTTACATATTTATTTTCAACAATACATTCACACAATAAAATATTTTACACGTAAATCAAAAATTTCCTTACTTTTTAACCACACATTCTTCAAAAATTCACTATCCAATATAATGTTTTTTTCTTTTTCAAAAAATTGTCACCAAACAGGCTAAGATTTCTATGAAAGCTGAGTAAATATGTAATTTACCCTGAAAAGGACGTTATGAGTTTGGTAGAAATGCATACTTTTCAACGCAAAATGGTTTCCACTTAATTTACATACAACCATGACAAACCCACATGGATTTGGCATTTCTTGCACATTTCTTGGATCCATACCGTGATTAGCGTAAGTCATTTTCGTTGAATAATTAAGCAAAAAAAAAAAAAAAAGTATTCGTCTTTAATTTCTACCAAATGTCACGAGGTTTCTGAGGTAAAGTTTATATTGGACCCTACTTTGCTAGCATGGTTGTTGGCTTTGCATAAAAGCATCATACCCAAGTTAATGATGTGGTGAGACATGATTAAGTCATAATTTCATCAATCAAATAAAAAAAAAGTTTATCCACTCTTGTCGATACCTCATCTATTTCTAAAAAAAATTGTAAGCCCTTTTAAAGAAAAATAGCATTATTCAAAATAAAGATATAACAACAGTCGAATTTTTAAGATATTATTAATATAACCTATTGAGGTTTTACATTGCGTTACCATGCATAATCCAAACATCGCAATCATGTTATTAAGCTCTCGTTTGATAGGGATTAAAATCTAAATTTTAATTGAAGTTAAAGTCAAAAATTAATTTTAATCACATATTTCATGAGATTCACACCTTTTCAACTATGCATTTAATTAACTTTTATTAAAATTTACTGAAAGTCTGATTTTTTATGCTCAGGAAAAAGGAAATACAATTATTACTACACAAAGGAACAAATTTAGTTATTACAGATTAGGACAACGTCACTAGTACACTCTTTTTGTACATTAATTACATAATCGAATTATGAATTGTTCAATGATATATTGTCACGTGAAAAAATATAAAAAATTGTATAAAGAGTGATGCACAATGAATGATTGGATAGATTAATAGTGAAATGGTCACAAGTTCCACAGTTTTTCAAAGGAGCTGCAAATATTCAACATTAGAGTTCTTTTATTTGACCCATAACCCCCGACAAACAACAACTAATACCCATAAAAGATTTGTCATTGCCTTCAATCCTCCATTAATAAGGGCCTAAAGATTTCATATTGTAGTGTCTCTTAGAACAAAATGGGCAACAGTTTGGGAGGAAAAAAGACAGCAAAGGTTATGAAAATCAATGGTGAAATGATCAAATTCAAGACACCAGTGAATGCTGGCGAGATAACGAAGGGTTATCCGGGTTACGTTCTGTTAGAATCCGAAGCCGTTAAGCATTTCAGTATTCGAGCAAAGCCATTGGAGCCGCAACAAGAGCTGAAGCCGAAGAGGTTGTATTTTCTAGTAGAGTTGCCAGAATTCCCACAAGAAAAGGGTGCGAGGAGAGTAAGATCGGGCATTCATATGAGTGCCAAGGACCGGCTCGAAAGCCTAATGTTGGCGAAAAGATCGGTTTCGGATCTCTCAATCATGAAACCACATAGCATTGCGTTTGAGGAGTCGGTTAGAAGTTCGGAAGAAAATGGTGCAATGAGGCTTAAGATGAGACTTCCCAAGGCCCAAGTAGAGAAGTTGATGATGGAGAGCAAAAACGGCTCTGAGATTGCCGAGAAGATAGTCAATCTTTACATGGTCAACAAAGTGGATGGCGGCAGCGCCGGCACTGGCAGCGGCACGGCGGAACCGAAAAGGGTCCAAAAGGGTCCACTATTGAAGCAACATGTCCAATGGAAGAATGATGATGGAATCGTTAACAGTAGTCTCAAATCTCGCGAGGTACGTTTTTCTTGGGACATGATCCTTTTTTCATGGTCTTTGACAATTTTATTCGTTTTTTTTGGGGGGAGGGGGTGGTAGTTTATTAAAATTCACAGCTACCTACCGATTGTTTGAATTAAAAAAGTTCGTTGTCTTCATTTCACCATCCTTTATTCAATGTTTGTCACCTCAGTACATCAACTCAAGTAGCAAATAACAAAATGGCTATCAAATGTACTGTTGATATAACGAAGTGTCAGTGAGAGTCAGCCTAATAGGGGGGGAAAAAAATCTCAAATCGACCGAGGAATTCAAATGCCTTGGACCATTTCAGATTTATCTCCTTGCAAATTTCAGACAATAAATTCATAACTTGTTCACATTGAAGAAAGAAAAATCAAGGTTACTCCTATCGAATCTTTTGGATTTAGACAACTCTTGAAAATATTTAATATAAAATAATTGAGTTGTTAATTTGGTTACTCACCATCAACTGTGATGAACAATAATTATTTTCTGTCTTAATTTGTACAATTCTGTGTCACCTTTCGTGCTTTCGTAAAGAGACTATTTTTCTCTTAGAATATCAAGTCCATGTTTGATTTCGCTAAAAACTAAATTTTTGGGATCAAACATGGGTTAAATATGATGTTATCAAGCATTTTCTTATACATCTTGTGACATCAATTAATGGTTAATAATTACGAGGCCACCGAATGGTTGAAACTTGAAAGTAGGTAACCAAACTTTATTTTAATATAATTCGAGAACAAGAATTAGAAATTCACGAAAGCAAAGAAGAGTAATTAGTTTATATTTTTCAATAATTAATACATGAATTGGGATATTCAAAAAATTTCAGTTTTATAATTTATTTATATATTTTTGTTCATATACTTGCAGAGGCACGTAGGATTCTTGCCCGTCAGAGAAGGAGAGATCGACCTAGCTGTTGCCTAATAACTCGGCAAATTCACTTTTAAAAGTCTATTTTATGTATAAAGTGAAATAATTTCTTGTATATCGACCTTGAAAAGTTTAGGTACATCAAAGTTCTCGGAATATGCTTTTGATATAGAATTTTGCACATGCAAGGAAGGGATATTAGTTTAATTATGAGAGTAGTAGGTTCTTTAGGTTTGTTTTTCTATTTATGTATTTGCTTCAACCGATCCTTGAGATCAGGATGCCAATCTTATTTAAGAAATGGGATCGAGTTGGTTTATAAAATATTAGACCTTCAAGAAGATTTATCAAGTTTTCATATTCAAATTCAATAACTGTGATTCTGAAGAAACTGGAGAAATCAATATGGCCTTGATTTAATCGATTTAGTCCCTTTGAAATTCTATTTGCCTAGTTTCGATTAGTCTCATTGCCAGCAATATGCAAATTTAAATCTTGATTGATCCATTACTAGTTCAAAAATTTCTTTCGGTTCATTAAAATTTCATTTTCTGATTCTTGAATCCAGGGCTTGGGCCAATAGTTGTCAGTTGTCACTAAGAAGCTATCTATGATAGGCCTGTGCATAGAGTGGGTCAATCGGGTTATTTCCACTTTGAACCATTCATTATACTCCTAGTATTTCACCGAATCATTTGGATTCAAGTAATTATTCGAAGCAAACCAAAATTCTAACCATAATAGCATCCACTTTCGGTTAAACCTATATATGGCGCTTTGAGAAGTGTTTATGCGACAGACAGCGAATAAAATATGGTCAGAACTGGCTACAATCGCAAGTAGTATAGTTTAAATATTCAAATGAATGAATCTAGTTGATTAGTGTACTTACTATTTGAGCTTTGCAAACTTGCTAATTACTGGGTATGGCAAACTTGCTACTTATTGCATCGAGTAATTGGATCAAAATAAATAAATTATAAAAATTAAAAATTAGGAACAATTTATGTTAATGAAAATCTTTACTCTATGTTAAAGAAATTTTTGAAGAAAAACAATAATTAGGAACAATTTATGTTAATTTTAGAGTAAGAATGATCTCAACATAAATGTGATAGTGTAAAGATTATGATTCTTCCATGCAATTAAAAATTGTGGTGTGAATATTTAGTCTTAATAATATTGTTGCTGCAGTTTATATTTTAGTAACAATTAAAAATAATTCTATGCAAAGGGTATACCATTGAATTTCAATTCGTCTATCACACCGCGAGTTACGGAAAATTGTGACAAACAATCATAAAAATTAAGGAAATGAAAGGCTGAGAAAAGAACTTGTAACTAATATATTGGATGCAATAATGGAAGTAATACGACATGTGAAGTGTAAATTCAAGAAAAAATAATAAGATACATCATGAAACCTAACTACCACCACCTACAACTTTAACTAATTCCCAAAGTCAAATCAGTTTCTCTTCATATTTTCTTTATTAATCATTAATGTTATTGGAACAAGATATATTGAATAAAACACGACAGGATTGTGGGAGGGATGTATGTAACAACATACGTTGATTGTCAATTCCAATTCAGGGCTTAGCCCTCGTTTGATGGCCATTAATTTAAAAAAAAGGAGTGTCGAATAATGACTTTTTGAATAATGTGTGATTAGAAAGAAGGAATTTTTTTTTTTTGAATTTATGTTCACGAGAATTAAAAAGTTGAGAAATTATGGTGGTCAATTCATTTAAAGTAAATGGGAGAAAATGCAATAGATCACCATGTATAATTTGTTAAGTGATAAATAATCAACTTATAAGAGTTTGAACTAATTTTCTTTACATGTTAAAATTTTAAGATATTTTAAATCTTAATATGATTTCAAATAAATAATAAAATAAATGAATACTCCTCAAATTTAAGTCTTTCATATTCGTTGGAGATCCGAACACTCCTCAAATTTATAGATTCACATGGGGTTTAGGCCCTACTTAGTTGACCAACAATATAAAAGACTTAAATATATAGTGGTACTCTTTCCTTTTTTAATAATTCATTCCTCTAATCTCGCATAAATCAAGTAGCTAATCTTTAACTGGTCGACTTTATAGCGTTGACAATGAAGGCTCAAATTTGTCAATCTCTAAGAGCCAACATTAGTTAAATATTGATGTATTGCCTTGATTAAAACTGTGTGATGATCGTGTAATTATCTTGCTATTTTTGTTTCGACTTCCATTGCAAAAGTTCTCTCATGTCAAAATTAGAGATTACTTTGTCAATTAATTTAATATTAATATTGAAAGGAGAAATTGCACATATGGTGCCCGATATTTGATTTTACTTTCACTTTTCTACTAAACTTTTTTTAGCATTTAACTGGTACTAATGATTACAACGTTCTCCAAAAAAAAAAACATTGAAAAAATAAATTTACTTTCAAAAAATAATCCAAATATAAATATTAAAGGAATTTGAAAAAAAAAAAAAACTTCCTTGAGCCTCAAATAATATGGAGAAATTAGGTCCACTATCTTCAAAAAAAATAAACTATTAGATTAATACCCTTAAAACTGATTAAATTTAAAAAGAAAAAAAAAATGTATTACTTATGCCCAAAACTCCAAAATCTCCAAAAAGTTCTCAAATTTATTTCGTCATATTTTTTTTTTTTTTGAGATTTTGTCAACTTTTTGAGTTTTTACCACTTTTTTGAATTTATGTCACTTTTCGTTTAATAGTTTTTCATTTCTCCTTTATAGAATTGAGAATTAATCATACCACAGAAATATTGGTTTAAAGGAACATGATACCTGACATGATACGTTTAATCAGCGATATACTTTAGCTCCTTAAGAAAAGTGACACTTCGAATTTCATAAAATTATTGCCAAATTTTGCTTATATGAATATAAGGATACACCAATTCTTTTATTGATGAAATTGCATATTAATAACAATAATAATTTAATCTCTTTTAATAGTTACTGTTATGTTTATATTCTGTATTGGCGATTTTGTGAACAAATTGACCAACTCGAACAATTATATAAGTTTAGGGACTAACTTGTAAAATTTCATAGTTGGTAGGTTTGCTTAGGGTTTGGGGTTTCATGTTGGAACAAGAAGGATTCACGACGAATTTTCGCTAGCAGCTCGCTGGAGTGATGCTCGAGCGACTGAAACAGAGACTGCCTTACTCGACCTTCGCCCCAATGTCGTTCGAGCGACAGACCCTTTGCTTGAGCAACGTATTATTTGGCTAGACCTAATTTTCTATTTCCGAGATTTTTACTTGGCCCACACAACCTATTTTGTTCAACCTATATATTGAGGCGCCGCACTTTTTACGGATGAGAGATTGAACACCATATTATTCAGAGAGAATACACAAGAATCAAAGTTCAATCTTTTCATTGTTTATGTGCCAATCATTGTGAAAACATCAAAGAGCCAAATCAAACACTGGATTGTATTCTTCGCTTGGGTCTACTGCAAAATTGTGTCGTCAACTGTACTGCATTAAAGATCAAGGGAGAATTTGAAGGACGAGTAGTTCTTTGAGAAGATTTACAGGAGATAAACTACGTAAAGAGTCAGGATTGGAGTTTGTGTGCTCATTCCAGGAGGACTGTTTTACAAAGAAGAGCCGGGTTTGGTGTTCGTGTGCACATTCC